TGTGTGTGTGTGTGTGTGTGTGTGTGTGTGTGTGTGTGTGTGTGGAGAGAGAGAGAGCAGTCAGCTCTCTCCACCCGAGGCTTAAGGTCAACAGACGATCATGCTAAGCTTGCTAACTGTTCCACCCTCTGACTGCTGCAGGGGCGTGTCTTAGAGAGAGGCTTTTATACCAGAACACAGCCGCTGTGACGAAACCGTGGAGAAGACACGTCACCGTGGAGAGCTGTTAAGCAATATGCAAATTAGCCTGTAGTACCACTGCTCTACCCATATGAGCAGCAAAAACACGTTTTTAGACCAAATATTACAGATTTGAACAAATACGCACGAAAACATCAAAATTAGCACAGAAACAGTACTATATAACATTTTAGACTCATTCTAGACAGTTTATCAGCTAAAAAAGTTAATTTTGGGGTAAGTTACTCTTTAAAGTGCCTGTGACATGCATATCCCTGAAATACAAAAGGTCAAAGAAAATATATGTATATTTAAGAAACTTGGCATAATACACATGATTTTACCCATTATGTCACATAATTGGCATATTTTCTATTGAATTTTGCTCAGCTCAAGTAAAACAGGAAGTGACATCAAAGGGGAACTCTTTAAGAAAGAAAACTCCCTGGTTTTTGTTTATTGAAACAATATTATTTGAACTATGACTCTCTCATCTCTCTATGATAGTGATTAAAATAATCTAAAGAAACATCAAATTCTTCTCTACAGTCTGTGCTGTTAGCCATTTTAGCAACACTCTATTTACATTCAAACATTCCCTTTTGACATCACTTCCTGTGTCTTCACATGCAAATATCTCAACTTTCATCTCAGCAGCGTGAAATCTTTTTTTGCAATATGTTATCAATGTTATCTTTCCAAAAATACATTCATATTTATTATAAAAAATTGATGTCACAGGCACTTTAAGCCACCATCTTTGCTGTTCTGGAGCAAGTCCCCCTACCACCATGTGAGAACGGCCTTGAACAGGTTCTGGTTCAATAACGTCAAACTCTATTTAAAATTATAAAAATATTTTATGACTGTATTGAAGCAGTTATTGCTGCCAAAAAGCAATCAACCCAATTTTAAATAAGTAATTTAATATTGTGTTCCCATCATTCTGTCCAACATTTTCTAAAAACTCACCCTAAATCTAATAAACAACAAAATAATACTTTAGAAAAACCACCATTTGGACATTTTATTTAACAAATGTTTCATAAAATTCCATAAGAGTCACATTTTATAAGAATGAAACAGTTCTAAAATCTCCAAAACATAAAAAGTAACAAAGTAGTAAGAGCCATTTTAAGTTGTGTAACATGTTAAAGGCCTGTCAGAAGTTTCCTTGTGGGGAACTTCACAGACTCTTGAGTCTTTGTTTCATCAAGTTTCCATTTTGAGTCTCATTAGCTTGTAGCACCATGAATGTAAGAAAGAGTAATACATGTTTAATCCTCACTCCAAACAGAGGATCATCCAGAGTCACACGGAGAAGTTGAGCTGATAAAATAACTTTTAATCTACTGTTCAAGCAGTAGATTTAAACGTTGTCGTTTACTGCAGCACAGTGCAGTTCAGAACAGTACTAAAACTTAGGTTTTTAATGCATGAGCCTCTTTAAAAGAGGCAATCACCACATCCCTGATTTCACAGATTTCCAATGAGTGCTGTGAAGGCAATTATACATGTTTAATACCACAAAATTAAAAATTAACTGTGCAGAAAGAAGATTCTGCAGAACTTCCATCCTAAATGTGTCCATAATCTGCTCAGACATCACTAATTAAAAAAAGAAAGAAATATCTAAAATCTAGCTAAATGAGGTCTGTGATCCCTCACATGCTGCCATCTTTTGGTCCTCCGCTGATGTTTGGAATCTGATCTGCAAAGGACTCGTTCATCCATTCTCCGTCTGGGAGCTGACCTTCTGTTTGTGACGTGGTCGCCTCCTGAGCTCCTTCTGAAGGAGGAGAACATACAAAAAGGACTGGTTAGAATTATTGGCTTGAATCATGCAAAACTCTGTGTTTTCAGAAATGTTTGCATGATGGAGTTTGGCAAAATGTGACGTTCTTACATTGGACAAACCCCCCGTTTTTGTATAAAAATAAATTTCTAATCATGAGGTCTTTGTTGAAAGTAAGTTTTTTGTAGTCACAGACTTAACTAAAAATGTATTTATTTCACCTAAATGGACTGTGTGTACACTAAAGTGTGCTCAACAGATCTGTTTTTAGTCGTGGAATAGGGCAATGCCAATTTTATTGGTCAGTTATTTTTGATACTTCATTATTTTTATTTCAAGCTTGGATATAGGGTTTTAATGGTTGTATTTACCAAACCATTGCAGGGAAAACAAATTACCAGTATTATGCATGTGTGATGTGATAATTTAACCCCAGACAACCATCCATAACTTTGCGGGGTTGTATTATATACAGGAGTAAATTCTGACAGATTACTCTGTACTGCAGAATATATGATTCACAGTGCGTGATTGGTCAGAACTTGGTGGGTGTTTGTTTATGCAGAGCAGCTCGTCTGACCCCACTGAGCATGTGAACGTACAGTGAAGTTCACATCTTCGTTACATCTCTGCAGTTAACAAAAAAAACAAACAAAAAAACAATGTTCCTCAGACTCCATGCCTGCAAAGTCGTCTGTTATTACCGTATTTTACAGACTTTAAGTTGCACTTTTTTTCAAAGTTTGGTTGGTTACAGTCAGCTGCAACTTATTTAGGTTTTATTAAATGATTAAATATCTGTTCTGATGCACCGTATATGATTTTATCCTCTTCATGACAGTTTTTGGCCAATGCAACTTGCAGTCTGGAAAATACGATGTCTTCTCATTCTAAATGTCAGCTTTATGTGACATCGCTACAAAGCTAAAAAAAGGAAAACTATCATAATATGATATTTTATTTATATGTAGACAAAGGCTGGAAAAATCCAGAAATTTGTATGAAATAAAAAAACATGGTCTGTATGAAATTAAGGGTAGCATTATACAGGATTTGATTTTTTAAAATGTCTTAAGTAGTGCTGGGCACGTTAACACATTATTATTGGAGCCTTTGTTGTTGAGCGTGCAGCTGCTCACATGAACCCCAGCTGCAGACAGCCAGGGAGGAAACACGCCTGCAGCTGCTAGGTTGTTCGGGGCATTTTTTTAATTTTAAAACCTTTCCCAACAGTGGGCTGGGAGGAAGTAAAGTTATCTGTAAGCGCTGCGACACTAAACTGTCTAACCACCGGAGCAGTTTGAGCCTCAAATATCACTTCAGTTTAAAACCAGGTGAACAAACAGAGGGAGGTTCTGCTGACCAGCGTGTGGGAGAAAGAGGAAAAAGTAAGATCGGCTTGATTTGTCTTATTTGTTTAAAGTTGAAAGTTGTTTAAAGTTTGAAAATGCATTGCCCCTAAAACTCTGCCTAAAACGCTCTAAACATGTTCGAGTCAGTTAAATTTTGTGAAATTAAATCGCGAATTCAAGGATGTTTGTCATTTTAAATGAGTATTATGAGGAATGAAAGATAGACGAGGCCCCTGTTGTCAGAAAAAAATAGAATAAGCAATAAAAAGTTCAAATGAAAATCAAAAAATGTTCAGTCTGTCACACATGTATTGCAACATATAAACAAACACATTCAGCCATAGTAGAGTGATTGTTTCTGAAAAAGATAATTGAGATTAATCACAAAAATATCTTGAGATTAATCGTGATTATAAGTTTTAAATCTATGCCCAGCACTACTTTTAAGCAAAAAAACAAAAAAACAAACAAAAACGAGGG